AAAAAAAAAAGGATGAAGAGAGGGAAAAAGACATCTTTCATCTTTGAAGAAACATTAACTCCCAGTCCTCATTACTGAATGAAGTTTTGTGAGCTTCTAAGAAATGGGATTTTGTACCATTCTTTTTTCTTAATAATTATGAAAGCACAATGATCAAACATGTGTTGTTACTTTATCCAACCTCTCTGAATAGGATTACGAAACCAAATTATAATAAGAACTAAGAAACCAAATTATCAGCAGGCAAACTGGGACAGAAAAGTTTTGATTTAGTTGGTAAGAAGATTGTTTCAAATTTATTGATTAAAGATTTGATTTATTAGAAAGGTCAATAAAAAAATAATTTTTCATAAATTAATTAGTCTTAACAGATAATTTGTCTTAAATCAAAATAAAAAGGAACTAATCTTAAGGCCTCTATAATTTAATCAGAGCACATCTTGATTACTAAATTAATTAATTAATTAAAAAAAAGAAAAAAGAAAAAAAGGGTTGAGAGTACTAAGTTGAACATACCATACTGTTATTTTATAATTATATAAATTCATTAAAAAAAAAAAGGACCATATGAATTTTACGTAGAGATTTTCTTTTTAATTCGAATTCTAGATGATTCTAGATAATCGTTGCTTTCAACAAAGAATGCTTTCCGAACCCAGGGGTGTAGGGTAGGTGGTGGTTTACCTAGTCGGTCTTAATTGCCCCTACTGCGCCAGGGTTCAATTTCAATTCCCTTGCCCGCTTGGACCCCTTCCCCCCTCTCCCTCAATTCAATGCTTTCCAAACTTTCTCTATATAAACCAACCTTCCCCTCCCTCGTTTTGTGTCTCATAGCTCCTGATTTCCTTCAAAATTTGTATTTGTCCTCCATTAAGTTGAATTGCCAATTTCAGGTTCTTGAAGTTTTTGAAGCTTGTTGGACATCACACAAATCCATTGTTCAAAAAATGTATCCTTTAAATTCATTTCCTTTCTTTTCCTTCATTTCTAGCAATCTTTTGACCATTTTCTTCACTTTTTCAGTTCAACATGGGGTATGAAAACCAGCACCGGGATGTTCCAGTAACAAAATATGATTGCCTTGTCTTTGGTAAGTCTTTCTCAACATTAATTCATATCCTTCAAATTATTTCTAATAAGAAATACACCGCTCCCTTGAAATTTATGTGTCACTAACAATTTATGAACAATTTCATTATACAGATGTGGATGACACCCTTTATCCTCTGAATTCTGGTTTATCCAAAGCATGCACCAACAACATTGTAGGTAATAATGGATATCTAATTCCTGCAGAATCTAGTTCATTTCTCTACTTTCCCCGCTTGTAAAGATAGACCATATTTCCTTTATATATCCCCTTGTGTAGAGTTTATGATTCAGAAGATTGGGATTGAAGAAAGCAATGCTGCAGAGATAAATCAAGTCCTATACAAGAACTATGGGACATCCATGGCAGGCCTATTGGTAAACAACTCTATTCCTATCTATTGTCTTCTTTGATAAATGCTTCCAATTTTTTCCAATGTGAATTGTGGTTAATTTTTTTTTTTCTTCTGTGTATCTTCAGGCCGTTGGCTATAACTTTGACCATGATGACTACCACAGGTACTGTTTCCTCCTCCTGCTTTACTCTTTTGGTGTATTTATGCTATTTATAGAAGTACATATATTGATGTGAATAATTCTCTGATTTACAGTTTTGTTCATGGAAGACTACCCTATGAGAATCTAAAGCCTGATCCTGTCCTCAGAAATCTTTTACTTAGCTTGCCGATCCGCAAAGTTGTGAGTCTTTTCTTTTCCCCCTGAGAACTAACTAATTTAGTTGTGTAGCTTGAGATTTATTTGTTTTGTTATGAAACAGATTTTCTCAAATGGGGATAAGGCACATGTGGGTAGAGTTCTGAAAAAGCTTGGCTTGGAGGATTGTTTTGAAAGGATTATAACCTTTGAAACCCTTAATCCCATTCCCAGCAACGAAACTCATGATGTTCATAATCATCCTTCTGGTTCAGAATTCCCAGACACTCCAATTGTTTGCAAACCCTTTGAAAATGCCTTTGAAATGGCCTTCAAAATAGCCAACATTGACCCTCAAAAAACAGTAAGATAGACCAAAATCTTCACCTCTATTGGCTGTTTTCAGCTTCCTTGTGCTGATAATCAACCAACAATTATTTGTTTTGGCAGCTCTTCTTCGACGATAGCATCAGGAACATACAAACAGGAAAAAATATGGGACTTCACACAGTTCTGGTATAAGTTGATTCTCAATATATGTGTAACTGATCTACCATTACATTTACATGGGACTTCTAAAATTTTCTAATGTATTGAATTATGGCACGGTAAATGGTAATGCAGGTGGGAACTTCACAAAAAACAAATGGTGCAGATTATGCGTTAGAGAGCATACACAATATCAGGGAAGCACTGCCAGAGCTGTGGGAAGATGAAGAAGCAGATAGGAGATCAGAAAGTGTGACGTATTCTGGGGAGATCTCAATTGAAACAACAGTGCAGGCCTAGCTCAACTCGAGCCTTTCCTTTCCCCATCTTATGCCGTTCAAAACCTCACCATATATATATATATACGTATTTTCCCTTCAATACTTCAAATGGGTATAAAGGATTTCTCAAATAGAAAGAATTATCTCATCCTAATGTACTGCGTCCTCATACTTCCTTCTCTTTTTTTTTTTTTTTTTTTGAACATATTTATAAGGAGCGGGTTTCGAACTCAGCCCCTGAAAAAGAGAATGCAGCAGGTAACTATTGTCACTAAGCTGCAAGGCCCAGGTGGACGTCCCATACTTCCTAATAATTAGCGCACAAAATAATAGCATACATTGGCAAAATTTATATATTTAAAATTAAATTTTACTGCATACTATAAAAACCAAAAAGTTTATTTTTTTAAATAAAAAAACAAAATTTATATTTTTTTATTTACATTTTTTTTTTCTTTCATTCAAAAGTTCAAGTGTTAATAAAGTTAGAAACTCGAAAATAAATAAAGCAATTATGAGACATCACTGGTGAACTTTCCCTTTTTTTAAAAAGAAAATTAATCACCATTTTTGTTTGTGGCTAAAGTGGTCTTCGGAGTGTGGGGCTAAAAAAAAAGGGGGAAAATCACAAAGCGGTCAACACGTGTCTGCGCCCACGTGTATCATTCATGCTAAAAGTTACGACGAACTCTCAGGTGCGACACAACGTGTCTGGTCCCTATACGACCACGTCAGCCCAGTTCCTTTCTCTCAACGGTTCGCCGGCTTTCCCTTCCCCGCCGCGGCCCCTATTTCTTTCCCCTCTGTACTTACCAATAACCCCTCTTTATCTCCTGTCTTCCTCTGCCGATCTTCCGTATTCACGACCTAGTTCCTGTGTGACTGTGTCTATCATTTCGGATCAGGTAATGTTCGATCCCGTCCCTGCAAATGTTTAGTTTTTTCGTTCGTCGTCGCACTTGTTCGTTGTTTCTGTTCTTTGTTCTAGGATTTGTCTGTTTTGAGTTCGCTTCGAGCTACATTGGTTTCATTTCGTCTATTAGGGAAGTTTTTGTTGGATTTTTTTTTAAAAAACCCACTTTTCGGATTATTAAGGGGATGGTCTTTATCCTTTACCCATCTTAACTTAGTAATATATTAATCTCAAAAAAGAGGTAATTTGTTGATTATGCTTTTCTTTCTGTGTTTTGATATGATATGTTTGTTTGAAAATGATGTTTTAGCATTTCCAGCTTCTGAATAGGACAGTTAATGGTGCAAATTTTGTCTGTATAATTAGGGATTTCCTTTTTCAGTTGCGGTTTCATTAGTTTGTATCAAGGAAAAAGGCTGTGTTTTTTCTATTAAACATAAAATTTTGTTATCTGGGTTTGGTTTGAATGGTTTTTAGCTACAGAGTTCCTTCCGCTGTTAATGCATTTTGCTTTTAAGTTAAGAGGTAAATAATGGGAGTTTAGGGACTTTAATTCGTCCAAGAGCAGTAATTTTACCTTTTTCTAGTTGGATTTGGAGATAATTTGATCTATTCTCTACTTTTGTTCAATTATTATGTTCTTATTAACATTGTGGCATCTATATCTATATTCATAGTTGGGCAGTTTTTCAGACTTAGGGTGTGCAACATCTTTGAAGTTAAAATGGAATTCGTGGATCAGATGCATCAGGCTTCAAAATCAAAATATGAATGTCTCGTATTTGGTAATTAGTTTTTGCTCCTCCTTTTGTTTATTTGAATTCTCTTTCAACGAAATTGGACTTGTCTCTGTGCTAAATGTAACAACTCTACTTGTAAAAATTTAGATTTGGATGACACAGTTTATCCTCTTAGTTCTGGTCTGTCAGTGAAGGTTACCCAGAACATTCAAGGTATTGTTGTATACACACTTGGATTCTTGCTTCTTCCACTAATTCTCTTGTATCTTTTTATATCCACTTATTTTTGGATACTCTTTCGCAGAATATATGGTTCAAAAGCTTGGCATAGAGGAGGAAAATGTTCCCAACTTATGCTTTTCATTGTATAAGTATTATGGGACAACAATGGCCGGTCTGAAGGTACATGTCTAAACTCATCATATTGTGCCTGAAGCTGTCTTGTTAATATTATTTATTAAAGAATGATGATAAATGTTATTACTGTTTCTGTCGGTTTTTATTATTCTCTCCAGGCTATTGGCTATAACTTTGATCCAGATGACTTCCACAGGTAAAGACCTCCCACTTGTATCAATTTTCCCCATTCTTGTGAAGCATGAAGGTCTTACTCATTTCCACCTTACAGTTTTGTTCATGGAAGACTGCCCTACACATTGCTAAAACCGGATCCTGTTTTGAGAAGTCTTTTGCTCAGCCTGCCCATTCGGAAAGTTGTAAGATCCTTTCCCTTGTCATGGATGGCCTTATCTGATCATTATACCATCCACTCATGATGATGATGATCTTCTGCCTTTTTTACAGATTTTCACTAATGCCGATAAGGCCCATGCAGCAAGGGTGCTAAGCATAATGGGATTGGAGGACTGCTTTGAAAGGATTATATGCTTTGAGACTCTTATCCCACCGACAAAGAGAACGTGGAAGAGAATGAGTTGGATTTAACATCAAGTGTTGCAAATTTTGACATCAGTGCGTTCAGTTCTGATCCCAATGCAGATCTAGCTCTTCCAAAAACAACAGTTCTCTGCAAACCTTCTGAAGCTGCATTTGAACAAGTTTTCAAGATTGCAAATATCAACCCTCAGAAAACAGTAAGCTAAGCAGTTATCTTTAAAATCACAATTGCCTTCATTTGCAAACTTGTAATAAATATTCTGAAAAGACCTGAGATGGCTTCACCTGCTGTCTTAATTATTGTAGCTAATTGTTATCTAATTTTTTTATCCCATCTGCATCCTTTGCTGTTGTTCTTTGAAAAAATGACATTACGTGCTCTTGCTTCACAGTTTTTCTTTGATGATAGCATCCGCAATATTCAGACTGGGAAATGTATGGGTCTTCACACAGTGTGGGTAAGTTCCTGAATATCTGATTGGATACACAGTTGTTCTTCAATGAAAAGCGCTGTTCAATTGTTCTCATTAATTCAACAATATGCTAATAGGTTGGAAATTCCCAACGAGCTGATGGAGTGGATTATGCATTAGAGAGCATACACAATATCAGAGAAGCATTGCCTGAGCTATGGGAAGTAGAAGACAAGCCTGAAGACATCAGATATGCAGGAAATGTTGCTGTTGAGACAACAGTTAAAGCTTAGTTATTTTTGCCGGAGTTTTAACCGTCCCATCGAGAACCTTGACAGAGTTTGTCTGTGGCACTAGTGAAGTAGTATAATGGTAGCAAATGTATGATCAGTGTTAGAGCTAAGATGTTGGGGAAGCTCAAGTTCAAGTTCCCATGTTTGTGAACTAAAAACAGAATAGAGCAATCATTTACTACTTCCATTCAATAACAAAGTTGACTCTTTTCATATAAATTCCACCAAAATATCGATATCAGAAAAGTAGGATTGAAACTTTTGCTCAAAAAAAAAAAAAAAAGGGGGTGGGTGGGGGGAAGGGGGGTGAAGAAAAAAAGGAAAAGGAAAAGGAAAACAGAAAAGCTTTTTGCACTTTGTCCTGCACAAACAACAAAAGATGAGTCCCAGATGCCAGATTAGTGGGGTTACTGTGGGTTAACTCGTGTTTTGCAACTGCAAAACACAATTCTTAAGAAAATATGGGCTCATCAAAACAATTTGAGCTTCTTCTGATAGGAAAAAGAAAAAAAAATTTTGTTATATCATATAACAAAAAAAGTAGTGGATAGTCAGTTCTAACATATTAAATGAGGCAAACTCTTTTTTTTTTTTTATTTAAAAGTTATTGTTTTACAAATTTAACATAATTTAAATTATGCACTTGATCTTTCGGGTTAATTGGTAGCCTACCAGCTTGAAGTGCATTCTCCCTCTTTTATAGGCAAGTTTCGAGCCTCCCTCTTTTATGGGCGAGTTTCGAGCCCGTCCCCTGACGAGCCTGTCCCTAACGAGCTCGTCCCCTGACAACTTGTTAAAAAAAAATACATAGTTTAAATTACAAACCAAAAAATTCTTAGCAGAATATCCACAAAATATGAATCCTCATTCCCAAGTTACCAATTTTTTTATTATGCATACAGTTGCAACATCATACAGCCATGACATACGAAGAAATCGGTAATGTCATGATGAGCCGCAAAGGAAGTGTAGTTCCTTCTATGGTTTGATTGAGTCGACGGTGCAAATGTG